GACGGTTATCATCTCAATTTTCTACGACGGTTATCATCTCAATCCTATAAATAGGAGGAGGAGTTGACAGAAGAGGGTTCGCAAAAATCACCACTCGACACCACTTGTCAAGTTTATCAATTTTATATTTCCTCAGCAATTTTTATCTGTAGTTGTAGATCTGGAGCTCTCTTAGAACTTCCATGGGAGTAGGAGTAACTTAATGTAGATCTATCTCGAGAGTCGTGTAAACATCGAACACCCTCGTTCGAACTATGTTGGAAGAGGTGTGAACCGTGTTTAGTAATCGTTGTCCAAAGAAGTCAAGGTGCATTCAATTTTCATTCAACGCAAGTTTTTCTCACCGGAAAACAATAACGAACAAAGGAAAAACATCCAACTCCCATGATCCCAAAATTCAAACAGCCCAATTCAAAATAAACCCCATCAGAAGTTTGGGCTAGAGAATAAACTAATAACTACAATTTGGTTGTGGTTAACACGACACTAAGCTGCTAACCATACTGCCACCTTTACTTTCACCACAAAGTTCCTTTATTTCATCGACTGGAACTAGCAAAATAGATGGGCCGGCTGTCACTATTTCCCACCACATTTCCAAGTCAATTAGATGCAACATTAATTAATTAAAATACAGCAATAACACGTATAATTGTCTCTCGTTTCCCATCTCTCGATTCTATTATGCAAACATCCAAAGTCGTCGTCCTTGCATTCTAATAATTCATCCCAAAAAGAACGCCCTCTAGCTAGCTAGACGCCATTGATTCAGCCGGTCAAAAAATCACAATTAATTAACAATTCATTAGGAGGTCCCTTTCGAAGAAATTGTCTCACCCGGCCAAATAAAATTCAATCCCCACGTCGCACTATATCCTGGAAAACAAGAGAGCGTTCTTGTTTGAATTCTTTAGAATTGAAAATTTTGTAAGGGTGGCGATTAGACACAAATTTGGAAAATAATTGCAAGGAGGCAACAGTTGTTGGGAATTTTAGGGATATTAGGTGGCGATGTCGCGACTTGTCGCGGGGTGGAGATGGACTATGTGCATGTATTGTGTGGCCCATTATGATGTTTTGTTAGTATTATTAGTCTAAAATTAACTTTTTGTTAGTAGTTTTGTTAGTAATATTGACTTGACCATATGATATTGACTGAGAAGATATATATGGCGGTCAACATTCAATTTAAAAAAATTGAAATTTTTGGGTAGTAAATGATATTTAGCTAAACCCAAGTAAACCCATTGATTATAGGTAGGGTATGGGTGACATATATACGGATTTGGAAGTTTGTAGATGAGTTTGGGTAGGGTTTGGATATTTACTTTCATAATCTAAATGTGTATGAGTTGGGTATGGATACTCATTTATTCGAGAGTGTTTTAATTACATATACAAAAATTAAACCTATTTGTAGAACTTTAAAAGTTTAGGTACCTAAATATAATACAAAAAAACATATAGGTACTAAAATGATGTTCCATCAACATTTTGAGGACTTATACGCAAAAAAATAAATTTAGGTTATCAATCTAAAGATCTATTTAGTTTAGGTACATAACTATAATTTGCATAGTTGAGGCTTAATTCCTTTTATGGTGATGTATTTAAGGTGTTAGTTGTTTACTTTTTTTATAAAAAAATAAAAACTATTTATTTGATATGGCTAGATACCTAGCCAAATATTTCATGTATAATTGTTGAAAATTGTAGCCCGGGTGGAAAAGAAAAACTATAGAGAGAAGCAAAATGAATACAAACTGGAACTCGCTTAAAATTTCATGCCCTCAAATCTCATAGTGAAAAATGATGGCTTTCTAATAAGTAATAACATATTTATTTATTTTTTACTGGATTGGACATTGAGTTGTAAAAGTTAATGGTTCATGGTTCAATTATTAGTTCTCTAGACTGTTGGCGAGTCGTGTATGGACCCGTTTATACTTGTAATTAGAATACATAAAAATAGTATACTAATTTGGGTTAGATGAAGAAGGCAAAGAAAGAAATAAAGAAAGGGTTAAGGAGGGGGAGTGAAAAATGAAACGAAGAGAAAATAGATGATGTAAATGTTTTGACCAATTCTTTTAGTTGAACGTCAATACAACAGTCAACCCTTTTCACTGTAGCAATTTATTGACATTTGCTTATGTAGATGTCGCATATTTTGTTACATGTAGTTAGTAGAAGTTTGTTTAGTATCCCGTAAATGTACTAAATGAGTTTATAAATTCGCTCTTTTAATGTTTTAGAGTCGTCTCTCTTTTATCATTTATTTAATGATTCACGTAATGAGCAAATATAAAATGATCGAATCTTCTCCTACAGTTGGGTGATACAACATCTTGTATTATACAAACTAAATTTATACTTTTATGTTATGGTGGATTTGATCTATGCATTGGTTCAAAAGGATTGGTGGATTGGATTCATGGATTCAAGTAAAATCTAAACATTGGACCAATATATAAATTTAAAAAATTGTACGTACGAAAATCTTATAAATTTAGATACCAAAACATAATTGTTCATGATTTTACATTAAAATTAAATTTGAGGTATCAAAATGTAAAATATACATTATAGTGACTAAGCTGTGATTTCATTAAATTTGGGGTATGAAAGTACAAATAATTAGGAAACAGTAACCCAACTTCAAATTTATATATATTAATATTGATCTCACAACTTGGAACTTGGTATCAATCAAACAAAAGTGCCGGCAAATTACCTTACGACGAAGACACTGTCCAAGTAAATGAGTCACAACAATTTGGTTGTGCTCAAATTCGTATATACACATCTAAGTACTAGATATTTGGATTGACCTATCAAGAACCAATTGGTCACAATATATCGAGTTGTTGGGAAATGGTTATTTATCGATCATATACACATCTACATCAAACAAAAGTCAACTGATCACAAGTTGAATTTTGTATATAACATCATACATTGTGGTTAAATCAGTCTTAATATTGAAACTCATAGAGATTCGAACATAAAATCACTTGACCAAACCAGATATGATACAATGTCATAAACTAGCTAGTCCCAATAATCTTGTCAAGAACCAATTGGTTCCACTAACTTGAATTGTTGGAAAAGATTTAATCATGGATATTATTGTCAAGTAATCAAAGGTAAACGAAAGAACACAAGAGTTTTTTAACGTTGTATCGTTAGTATGACAGTGACAGTAGTCCATGTTGGAATTAATCGATATATGTAATTTCCCCGAAACACATCTCGTTAGATTGTCAAAGGTGAACAGAAATACCTGGATACGTGTCGATTGATCGCCAAGAACTTGATGCGGAATCTGAAAGATAATTTGGAACTGGACGATACTCCTAGAGCACGATCCAGGAGGTACTGTGACCTTCCTCAACCAAGCCTCCATAGTTCCTTTACGGGAGAGCTCTCGTCTTCCTCATGGGGAGAAGACGAGAATATTTTGGTCTTGGTGTATTGGGGACCACGACCTCAACTCCTTTATATACTAGTCACCGTGGGCTCCCATAAAACCCAAGGTGAATAAGTATTGGGTTTCCACCCATTTAGGCCCATATCAATACAAGACATCTTTGGGCTCCTGATTTGGATCAGTTTCAATTAGCCCACATAACCAAATAGCTCATATAATTGTAAAATATGTGGCCCATATCATTATAGGAAATAAAATTTCCTAACAGTCCACACTCCACACAAAGAATCCCTCTCTCAGATTTTTGGTATATTATTGCTTACTTTCAATCGTAGTATACAACGATATATAAATAGGTTAGCTCTACATATTCTAACTACACGTCAATGACTATTTACAAATTAATACCATATTTACATTAAATTAACAGCATCTCTCAAATTGATATTGGATGGGCTACATCAATTTGAATGATAGATAGCAATGTTTGCTTGACCCTACTACTTTCATCAACACATTTGCAGTCTAATCATCAGTCGATATATAGTTCAATTGCACAACCCTAGGCTACAAACTGTATGATATAATGACTATTGTTGTTCAGACGGATGAAGGTAGAAGACAAAGGAGATGTCCAAATCAGCGCTAACTGGACCTTTGCCATGACTGCCACCGCTGGAGGAGTTTGACTTCTTGACGTCGTCCTCTTCAAAACTCATGTTGAAAATATAAACAATGATCACTGAACCTTATATTAAACTACCATGAAAATTATGATAACGAAACAATCCACAGGAGAGTGAAAATTCTCCAGTTTATGTTGTTGATTGATCGAGAGAAATCGTGTGTAAGTCAGCGGCCTTCCATATGTACATATATGATTCATATATACAGTGGCTTGTACGTATCTTGGATAAAATCTAATATAAGACATATCTGAATAATGAAACACAATTTCGATCTCAAATTAACCGAATTTTTTGACATAATATCTATATATGGGTCATGGCCTCATGGGTGGTTCAATCATACATTGGGTAAAATCAAAGTTATGACATACATTGAGTATGAAAATGAGCGATTTTTCCAGAAATAGCACCTTTAAAAAAATTTACAAAATAGCACCCTTTTTTTAAAACCGCACCTCTAAGGTGCGGTTTTAAAAAGGTGTGGTTTTATTGTGAAACGCACGCACATGGTGCGGTTTATATGTAAACCACACGCCCAAGGTGTGGTTTAAGATTCTGAGCCAAAACCGCATCTTGGCCATGCGGTTTTGGGTCTGACCTAACAGAATCGCATGGCGTAGGTGCGGTTCTTGAAACCGCTCATTGGGGATGCGGTTTTGTTTCTCCAAAACAAACCGCACCCCAAAAGTGCGGTTTTGCCCACACAAACCGCACCCCCCGCATGCGGTTTGTGTGTCATAATTATTTTTCCGACATCAAACATGTTGCCATGCAGGTTGACAGACGTGGGACTGCATGACAGATGAAAACCGTACCCTCCTCATGCGGTTTTCATTGATGATTTTGCCTATAAAAGACAGCCCCGGGAAACCTCTTCTCTTCACACCTCTCCTTCTCCCTTTTCAATTTTTTGTTGTAGCTCCCTACTTCTTTAGTGTTTTTGCGGTTAACGTTAACTCGTAAGTTTATTTTGTATTACTTTTTAATTGTGATTTGTTATTTTTATGATATTAACTGGACTACGGTTTTTTTGCAGATGGCATTCCAAAAGTTCACACTTGGGTTATGGTGGAATGGTTACACGGAAGAGACCGGAAAGGGGGTCACCCACGTCGGTGGCAATTTTCAGAAAATAAAGATCGCTACCAGACCGATGCTTGAAGACCTCTATCAAATCTGTACTAATGTTACTTGCATGGATGGCACGAGAAGAGTTGATCGTATGGTGTACGGATATCCAAACAGAGAAGGCGGGTCGTTGTGGCACAAGGAATATCTCATAACCACTCAGGATAAGTAGATGCCATGCTCGAATTCTTGAGGTCCAACAATCTTTCCAAAGCCGAGATTTCCGTTTACACTAAGGCGGTCGTAGGCGTTGGAGGTCATTCTGGAGACGGTCAAACATCAAGTATCCAAGGTGGAGGTGAATTATCTAGAGATCATCCCTACGAAAGTTACCATGATCCTCATTCATATTTTCAGTACCAAGAGCAAGGTGAAGGTCATCATCAATCTTTCCCATCATATGAAGAAGAAGTTCAACCGGACCATGCCAACCAACCCGAGTACAACTTCCAATCAGGCATCGGTAGTTTTCACAACTATGATTATGGAGCTGATGAAGGTGCCTTTCATGAGCTGGATCAGATGGAAGATGCCCTGCCAGCAATAGTTAGTGACCCCTCCGATGAAGAAGGAGAGAACAACGTCAGTGCAGAATGTTCTGACCCTCTTGAAGGTGCTGATGATTCAAGACTAGAGTCAGACTTAGATAATGATGATGAGGTCGCTCGTGACCGTGTACCAGTCCCCTACTACAATCACATTCCATACGAGAATTGGTGTGTCAACAGCGACATGGAGCCGCCAGAGGTCCCAGTATGGGGTCCACTCACTGGGTTTATGAAGGGCCAACAATTTGGCTCGAAGAAGGAGGTGCAGCACGCCATTGATACTGAAGCAATAACTCTACATTTTGAATGGCACACAACTCATTCCAACACGAAAAGGCTCATAGTCAGATGCTGTAATCATCACGAGGGATGCAATGTTAGGATTCAAGCCATCAACAACAAGAGATACGACCATTGGGTCATATCCCGTGCAGTGAACACACACACATGTGTGTCATCCATAACATCCCAAGGCCATCGACAGTTGAAATCCAGGGTGGTTGCTGTGGCTATTGATAGGGCTAAAGCGTATGCCTTAATCCTATCTCGTAGTAAACCGGAAAGTCCGGGTATCGTCTCTCAGGGACTGGTACAACCTTAAATTTTATCAAGTTTGAAGAGCAAACTATAGGTGAAAATGGTTTAATGAGATTATTAATTACTAGCAAAATAATTAAACTAATTAAGCAAAGTAAAATGGTGGGTTATAGGTATAATATGTCCCTCTACTATGACGTTTTAACAAACATGCCCCTCTACTCTTTTTATATCAAATATGCCCCTGTACTTTGAAAAAATTATCAAACATACCCTTTTGTTAAAATTTCCATTGAAAAAATCGTCAATCATGGTTTAATTGAGATTCAGACGACCAAACATTGGCAAATAAGAGGGAAAATGTCAGTTTTGTCCCATATTTTATTTCCCTGGGTCTTTTCAAAGTGAAATTATTTGAATGATTTGATTATACAAAAGAACCAAAAAAAATTCTAAAGTGAATTTATTAGGTATACTTTAGTCATTTGTGTCGCCCAAACTAAAGTACGGCCTTGGTTAACGGTTTTAGGATGAAAATTTTAACAAAAGGGCTTGTTTTATCATTTTTACAAAATACAGGGGCATGTTTGATGTAAAAAATAGTAGAGGGGCATGTTTGATAAAACGACATAGTAGAAGGGCATATTATACCTATAACCCTAAAATAGTCGGGAGAAATTCAATGGGAGAAAGCTTTGGGAGAAACACCGGGACTCACTACCTATCATATCCAAATTAATTCACATATTCCAATCAGTTTAATCCAATTCTCTACAGCCAGGATATCACAAATGTGCTAGCTATCCCTGTCGGGAATTACTACGTATTAAATAATCAATTCAAATCCTACTGTCGTAGCTCAATGAATTAACTATATAGTCTGAAGATCGATATCCTATTTAAGACCGCATAGCACCTTATTTAATACACTGTCGCTTCGATAAGTTACTATGTCACATGAAATAGGTTCAGTTAATAGGGTTTCACTGTCGCTAATAACCTAATTAACTACAAATCGTTGTATTGGTGGCCAGTCAACACAAAGCATTAAGTAATTTCATGCAATAGAGATTTGAAGAAAAGAATCATGAATCAATCCATCAAATTAAGAGATAGCTACATCCTATGGTGTTTCCCCCAGAAATCGGGGTTTAGTTCATGACGAAATTAAGATAAAACATTAGGGTATTGTTCATCATGTTCTAAATCAACAATAAACAACTAATCAGTTTAGAAAGTCCAACCAACTAATCGCTCTCGTTGAATTCAGCTCAAGCCTTGGAAAAACTGATCGCCAATTGCTCAATCGCTCTGCTGCTGCTCGCTGCTGCTTCTCTCCAGGAAGTTCGCCCCCAAATTAATTCCTCTGTCTGCCAGAAAAACCAGCCGCCCTCTGCTTCTTTCCCTTCTTTTTGCAATTACCTGTCCAAGCTCACCATTGTCCGTCCCCAAAAAGAATTCTACTTCCCTCCTTTAATTCCCCCCAAGCTTCCGTGTCTTTTGCTGCTGAGAAGAATCTTTAGTTTTTTTTTTTGTTTTTTCCAATAGAATAGCCGTCCAAAACCCTTTTGCCAATAATTCCCCAGCCCAAAATCAATCCCCCCTGCTGCCTTTTCATTCCGGTCCAAGTAAATCCAAAACCGGTCTAATGAGTTCTTTAATTAACGGGCTAGGTCAAGAATTCGGTCCAAATTGGTTCGGTCATAGACTCGATTTGTGTTCCACTTGTCTACTTGTACTTCCACAATTTCTATCTTTTTACCTAAAATATATAGAAATTCTAACACATGGTGGTAATGGTCTTATAACCATTCCGGAGTCAGTTGGCCTTAAAACAAACATTATATGTCTCAAACATATTATGAAATAATCGCATTAAGCACATAATATCAATATGTTTTCGACAATTATCACAACCCCACACTCAATACTTGCTTGTCCCTAAGCAATGACTCACACAAGAGAGCGATAATTGGAGGAAACACAACACAGACCAGGGAGACACAACCTTTCTCAAAACACAAGACCCACGACACACAAAACACAACGATAACACAAAAAATTTATCCTTGTACTCTAGTTGTAATCAGTAGTTTCTTTCTCAAAGGACAAGTTGTGCTTTAATGATCATACCTTTCACCCCACACTCAAGGTCTTTGCAACCCTTAACCATTGACTGACTCAAATCCATCAAAAACTCAAATAGCAACACTCAATTCCGATCATCGGTAGTGGGTGGTTAACAACTTATGGTGCAACAATTATTAGGAGAATCTAACCACATCAGTGAGGTGCACATCTCGTGAGGACAATCTGACTTACTCACACAAATCATAAGCAATTAACAAAGCATGAGTCTAAAAAAAAACTAATGGGGGAAGCCTTTCGCAAACATGATTTTAACTTTAAGCACATCACTACCTTTTATGACAAGGAGAGGCTTCTCTCTTTCTGATTTTTGCTTGCCGAGTTGTCGTATTTAGTACAAGTGGGATTTGTTTCTTACTACCGGTGACCTAGCAAGAGCAACTTCAGCTTCTTAGCACTCGCATAAGGGCTTCTTTTAACTCCTTTTCCTCGCTCCGTGTGGAGGGTCATTGCACATCCTCTAATGGCACTTCACTCAACTGGGGATCGTACTTGATAAGCAACATCGTACGGTCGCGAACCGATTCTCAATTGAATCTTTCCTAATCCCCATGTGCAATGAGTGATTGCCTCACACGATTTTGGCATTTTTACCCACACTTAATTGTTATGGCAACTTTCTTATATTTTACTTGTCAGGTAGGATTTTCTTCTTTTATAAAGATACAGTTCACCCCATCATAAAACCATCAAAACAGAGAGACTCGTTGCAAAATCAAAAGCTCACAATTGATGCAAGTAAGCACGATATCCAAACATGTCGAATGGTCAATGTTCTCCACCTAACTACTTCACCAAAAGTCATTACACTATCCTCGCAAAAGAGAATGTTGCTAAAAGAGTTTGCTCATTCAAAGCATATCAAGTCAGTCAAAACATTCAAGCTTATTGTGAAGAACTATGCAATTCAACACTGGTGGGGTGATTTTGATGATTTCATTCAAGCACAAACTCATTTTCAAGGCATCACGGTCATTTACATCATGTTACCACAAGAGTACAAGGTTTTGTTTTTAATTTTTCTGATTTTTAGGTGTTTTTTAGCCATTAGCCTTGCATAGGCAGCCTGCTTTTTACACAGGCAAACTGCATGCTGTTTGGTTGTGCTCAACCTAATGGCAAAAAAATTTTTCATTTTTTTTTACCGACCACATGACAAAAGGGACAAACAAACACTAAGACTCGCCACCCCACACTCAGGATGGAACATTGTCCCTAATGTTCAACTCCTAATCTAAACATGCACGGGTTTGACACAACTAAAAAGAAAAATAAAGAAAAGAAAACTTACCTTGGGTTGCCTCCCAAGAAGCGCTTGTTTAACGTCCTCAGCCTGACGTTCATGGAGCTTTCAACCAATGGGTATGGACAGGTATCCAGCATACCCTCCCGAGCAATGATAGAAGGCATACCCTCCATCCAACATATGAGTCACCTCTGCAGGGCCAGGTGTGCGAAAATTCGGTATGACCTTCTTAGCTGGCATGTTGGACCCCTTAGTGAAGCGTAGGTGGTATTGCAGCGCCTCAAGCAAGTACTCTTCCTGTTTTGATGTTAGTGAAGAAGGAATAATAACAGGAAGATTGAAATCCTTACCCAAATATCGATACTTGAGGTAACCTGGCAAGGATTTCTGCCCTTGCTTTGATTTCAGACTTTCAGCTGCTAGGACATGTGATAGTTCTTTGGGTGGTCCACTATCACAGGAAGAAGAATTTTCCCATTCTCGAGCTCCACTTTCAAAGTCATCAAATGCATCGTGATTATGGTCAACTTGAAAGACATTAAAAATTTCCTCCTCCTTACCGGAATGTCAACTTGCCTCTCCCGACATCGATGAGTGCCTCTCCAGTGGCTAGAAAAGGTCTACCAAGTATGGGAGGCACTCCCCGATCTTCTTCCATCTCCAGAATCACAGAATCTGTTGGGAGAATAAACTTCCCAACCTTCACCAATACATTCTCCACCACTCCTTTTGGAATTTTCACTGATCGATCAGCCAATTGGAGAGTGGTCCGAGTAGGCTTAAGAAAATCTCCCAATCCCAATTTCTTGTAGACTGAGTATGGCATCAAATTAATTCCTGCTCCAAGATCACAAAGTGATTTATTGAACTCTCTACCTCCAATGACACATGGAATGGTGAAGCTTCCTGGGTCATCCCTCTTTTCTGGTAATTTATTCTGAATCACGACACTACATTCAGAAGTAAGGGTTACCTTCTCCAGATCAGCCCATTTGCGCTTCTTAGTCAGCAAATCCTTTAAAAATTTAGCATATGTAGGCATCTGTTCAAGTGCCTCCGCCAAGGGTATGTTAATCTGAAGTTGCTTAAAGAGATTCACAAATTTCTTCAAGTTTGGGTCTTCCATGGGCTTCATTAACCTTTGAGGGAATGGTGCGGGAGGTTCATAAGGCTTTACCTCTTCATTCTTGAATTTTTTCACCTTTGGAATTGCACGGGCAGAATGCTCATGCACAGGCAGATTGCATGCAGTTTGCCTATGCAAGTCAGATTTTTCAGCTTTTGCACTTTCTTCATCTTCTACCTCTACAACTCCTTTTTCAGATTTTGTTGACTTCCTTGAACTCTCTGGATCCTCCAAGGCCTTTCCACTCCTCTATGTGACATCTACAACCATGGCATCCTTCGGATTCCTCTCGGTATTTGCTGGTAAAGTCCTGGGAATCCTACCTTGAATATCTGCCAAAGTTTGAGCCATCTGGCCTATTGCCTCTCTATAGCTAGCATAGATGATTGCAGATTATTGTTGATGGCTAGCTGTTGAGTGACAAATTGATCAAGACCCTTGAAATTATTGTCTGTTTTCTGCATATGAGCCAAAATCAACTCTTCCGGTTGGAGCTTCTTCTCTGGTTGAGGTTGCTGCTGTTGAAAACCAGGAGGTGGAATGTTTCGAACACCAGATGGATTATTGTTTGACCATGACATATTGGGGTGATGTCTCCATTGAGGGTTGTATGTATTTGAATACATACCACCCTGGCCTTGACTTCGCGGATTATTGATATAGTGCACATCTTCCAACTGATCAGCTACCAGTGGACATAGATCCCTATGATGAGCACCTTCACATAATTCGCAAAACGAAACCTCCTCTTGTCTACCAAGAGCCATCTTAGCGAGCCTTCGTTCGAGTGCATCAAACTTAGAATCTAGCTTAGCATCTATCTTGGCTTCTAGACTCGCAACTCTGTTTATCTCATGCAAGCCTCCTCTCCTTCGAATGTCGGTCTCACTACCCCATTAAGTATCTTCAGAGCATATCTTCTCTACCAGTTCATATGCTTCTGGTGCTTCCATTCTTGTGAAACCATTTCGGGAAGCATTATTCAGAGCATCTCGGAATTGTCTTCTGATTCCGTTGAAGAAAATGGAGATCACGTTCCAA